GGACAAACGCACACACATACACATACACATACGCATACACGCACATACACACACACACACACACACACACACACACACATACACACGCACACACACACGCATACACAAAATCCACTCTCCAACACACAGGCTTCTGAACGTCCCATGATCATTATTCCCTGTCTGTCTGCTCTGTTGCTGCTTCGCGTGGAGCATCAGTTACTTTTCTGGCGTTAACGCGACTCGGGCACTGTAGCAGTAACTGCTGCTGCTGCTGCTGCTCATGCTGTCTAAACATCGCTTCACACCTTTGTAGATACACCTGAGAAGTAGGAGTCATACAGCCAGACAGCACGACAGCAAAGAAAGAAACTAAAAAGGAATCATAATCCCTGCAGCGGGAGCTGCTGATTCTATCACGCAGCATCGGTGCTGCTGCCCCTGCTACTGCAGCTGTAACTGCGCGTCTGTCAAAGAGATCAAGCGCTACTGCTGCTATTGCTGCTGTTGCTGCCGTTGCTGTTAGGGCTGCTCAGCCCCAACAGTTCCAACCAGGCAGCAGCCTGGGGGGTTTCTGCTTCTTGCTGCAGCAAAGTCGCAGCAGTAACAAGGTCATGCGGCTTGGTTATCTTCAAGTTGTCTCCCGTTGTTTGCAGCACCACAGCAGTACGTATACCATTTGGTGGTGGTGCTGCTGCTGCGGGATGGGTTTGATGCCCTGCTTGTGCAGCAGCTGCTGCAGGTGTTGCTGCTGCTGCCTCCCTTTGTGCTGCTGTTGTTGGTGCTGGTGAGGGAAGCAGCTGGAGCAAAGATACGTCATCCGTAATACCCTGCAGGGTGTATTCTATACTCTGAATTCGGCGCTGCAGCAGCACCAGCTGCTGCTGATACTGTGGGCAGTCTTGCTGCTGCTTCGTCAACGGTTGCTCTTGCTGCTGCAGGTGCTGCGGCTGTTGCTGCTTTTGCTGCAGCCGTTGAAGCTGTTGCTGTAGCTGCTGCTGCTCGTGCTGCAGCGCGAAGAACTCGGCGAATGCATGCAGCAGCAAGTCCAGCCTCACGACCTGCAGCAACAGAAGACACCAGCATCAACGGAAGGGGCAGCAGGTACAATAGCTGCAGCAGAAACAGCAACAGAGGCACCAGCGACAGCAACAGCAGCAACAGCAACAGCAGCAACAGCAACAGCAGCAGCAGCAACCGACCTGCGGAGTCTGTGCCACAAGAGTTTCGTTGCGCTGGAGGTGTACGTACACCCCAGAGTGGGGATTCCCCAGCTTGATTGTGTCTGCTGCTGCTCCGCAGAGTACAGCAGCACCCCATGCTGCAGCGGCAGCAACAGCTGCAGCTGTTGCTGCCACTGATATGCACGGGCGAGCAGCGTCATGTACTAGCACATACACATTGCTTTGCTGTTGCTGCCGTTGCTGCGCTTGATGATGTTGCTGCTGTTGTTCTTGCTTCTGCTTCGAGTGCTTCTGGTCATGCTGCTGGTGTTGCTGCTGCTGCTGCTGCTGTTGCTGTGTAAGAGCATTCAGAAGGTAAAGTGCTCGCTGTCTACGGGCTGCCGGTGTGTGGGCACCACCGCCGATCTGCTGCTGCTGCTGTTGGTGCTCCGGCTGCTGCTGTTGCTGCTGCTGTTGCTTGAGTAGGTGCATACACAACGCTTCGAGTCCAAGCCACACCGACTCAAAGCGCTCCTCTCCTGGCTGTGCGAAGATGAATTCACATGGCTGCTGCTTTTGCTGCTGCTCCTGTTGCTGCTGTTGCTGCTGTTGCTGCTGCTGCTGCTGCTGCCGAAATCGTTTAAACAAAGGCTGGAGTCTGTGTCTATAACTTTGATGCACGAGGATAACCATCACGTGGGGGCCCCCTGTCGCCCTCAATTTGCTGCTGCAGTTGCCGCAATTGCTGTTGTTGCTGCTGCTGTTGCTGATGCTGCTGACGAAAGACAAGAGTTTAGCAGCAGAGATCGAAGCTGCATCAGCCCCCTGAAGCAGCAGCCTAAATTGTTTGGGCTGGGGGCCCCCACAACGCCGTCCTAATCCCCCTGCAAGCAGCAATATGCCTAGACGCACGCCACCTGTTGCTGCTGCTGGTGCTGCTGTGGCTGCTGCTGGTGCGACAGTTGCTGCTGGTGCTGTTGTTGCTGCTAGTGCTGAGGCTGCTGCTGGTGGTGGTGCTGCTGCTGCTAGTGCTGGGGCTGCTGTTGCTGGTGGTGCTGCTGCGGCTGAGACTGGTACTGCCGTTGCTCCTTCGTCTGCTTCGAGGGCTGTTCGTGATGCTGCTGCCACGGAGGTTGCTGCAGCAGTTGCTGACGGCGACGGTATTGCTGCTGCTGCTGTCGCTGCTGATCGTTTGCTGTTGCTGCTGCTGCTGCTCAGCAGCGCTTGCTGCAGATTGAAAGATGCAGCAAGGGGGTGGCCCTTGGGCTCGCCTCTGGCTGTTAAGGCCGAAGCAAAGGGAAGACACCAAGCAGGCAGCAGAACCAGCAGCAGCAGCAGCGCTGGAACAGCAGATCTCCAAGGGAAAGGCATGCCTTCTGCGTAAGTTGCATGCATAGGGGCCCCAGCAGGGGCCCCTCTGGGGGCCCCAAAGAATGAAACTGGGCGCCTGCAGGGGCAGCTCAGCCACACAAGTCTATTCGCTGCTGTAGTTGCTCCTGGACCAGTCGCTGAAATTGCTGCTGCCGCAGCTGCCGTTGCAGGAGGTGCTGCTGCAGCCGTTCCTGCTGCAGTAAGTGCTCTCTGGCTACTGCTCTTGCTGCTGCTGCTGCTGCTGCTGCTGCTGCTCGACACAGTCTTCATCTCAGCGCACCTGAGCAAAGCTCGCCCTTAAGCCTGTCTTTCTAGGGGCCCCCTTTAGGGAGCCGAAAGGGGGGGCCCCCAAGGGGGCCCCCGGAGGCCCCCGTCCAGGGGGGGCGGTCTTCGGGGCCCCACACGTGTCGTTTGTAGAAGGTAAGATGCTAGTAATTCACTGAAATAATGCATTCAAGGGAAGCATTTGAGTGTATTCGTTCAAATTAGATGCTGCCTTTGCTGCTGCAGGGGCCAAACTCGAGTTCGCCAGCTGCAACTTCAGCAGCAGCAGCAGCTGCTGCTGTTGCTGCAGATGCAGCTCACTATAGCGGCGTTTCCTGCTGCAGTAGTAACAGAAATTCTGGAACTGCAGCAGCACAGAGATGTCCATTAGCAAGTGAAGGACTCGCCGCAGCAATAGCTGCAGCAGCAGCAACCGCTGCAGCAGCAGCAACAGCAGCAGCAACAGCAGCGACAACAGCTGCAGCAATTGATCCTGTTCAACTAGGGCAGCACTTGATCCTGTTCAACTAGGCAGAAGAAATTGCTCATGGGGGAGAAGCGCTCAGCAGCGGCAGCAGCAGCAGCAGCAGATGCTGGCGCAGCCACCGAGCGGCCGGCAGCAGCACCCGCGGCAGCAGCAGCAGCTGCAGCATTGTGCGGCGCAAGTACTTCCGCAGCAACAGCTTCAGAAACAACGACAACAGCAGCAGCAGCAGCAACAGCTGCAGAGGCAACTGCAGCAGCCGCAGCAATAAGAGGGCCAGAGGATGGGTCGCTGCCACTCGCGGCTGCTCTCCCAAGCCTTCGTAGTTTTGGTTTGAAAGTTTTTTCAGCAGCAAGGGCCGCAACAGCAGCCCGCGCTGCTGCAGCAGCAGCAGGAGCAGGTGCAGCAAAAAAATCAAAAGGCGTTCCTTGCGTTGGGGCCTCCTTTGCTGCTGGCTTGTGGGCCCCTCAATTCCCTTTTGTTTGTCTCTTCTATTACTCTGGCCGCTGCTGGACACGCCTCGGTACCCAGGTATACCTCAAGCACTCAAATAGCAGCAGCAGCAGCAGCAGCAGCAGTAATGGTGACAGCAGCAGCAGCACTAGCCGACGCAGGAGAAGCAGCGGCAGCAGCAGCGGCAGCCCTGAGATCCAGGACACAAAAAAGAATGATGCTTCACCTGCAGCAGCAGCAGCAAGTAGTTCGGCTGCAGCAGGCTCTAACGTTATTCTGCTGTATCCTTGGGATTTTGCTGCTGCAGTGGAGTGCTGCTCGCTGTTGCTGCTGCAAGCAGAGACAGGACTGCCCCTAAACCCGCTGCTGCTGCTGCAGCGGCAGCAGCAAAATTGCAAGCACCCTTGTGATAAAGTCTGCAGCTCCGTAGGCCCCCACCGAAGCCTTGGGGTGTACGTACATCTGAAGAAGTTGGGGTGTAGGATACGGTCTGCCTCCGGTGCTGCTGCTGCTGCTGCTTCTGCTGCTGCCCTTTCCGTGTCTCCCAGCCTGCTGAAAATGATGGAGACTGCACCAGCTGTTGCTGCTGCTGCTGCTGCAGTGCTGGAGAGGCAGCCCGGCGCAACTGCAGCTGCCGCCGCTACCGCTGCTGCAGATACTCGTTGCTGCTGCCGCTGCTGCGCTGCTGTAAAGAGGCTGCCGTGGGTTGTGGTGCAGCAGCGGCAGCAACAGAAAATCTCTAGCCAGCTGCGGGCAGGTAGCGGCAGCAGCAGCAGCAGCAGCAGCAGCAGCAGCAACAGCGAGGACGAGACCTGGCTGCCGCCAAGGAAGTATCGCCGAATGCTTCATGCTAGTACCAGCAACAGCAGCAGATGCAGCAGCAGCAGCAAGGGCAGCAGCAGTTTGCCTCTCTTCCTCTGGTCTGCAGATTGCTGCGCCGCGGAGGCGGCCCTGGCGCTCCCTCTGGAGCTGCCCTCAGCAGCAAAAGCAACAACAGCAGCAGCAGCGGAAACAGCAACAACAACAGACGCAGCAGCAGAAGCAGGGGGACATTCACACCCCACACTTGGGAGGCCGCTGCGCTTAGTACCGTGCAGCAAGTCAAAAACTCCAGCAGCAGCAGCAGCAGCACCAGCGGGAGAGCTGCTGCTGGCGGTGGAATGTGGCGGCAGCTGCAGTTTGCTGCACTGCACCGGCAGCTTCCTTCTTGACTCAAAACCCTAAACCCTAGACGCTAAACCCTAAGTCCACATAATGCTGGGCTTCTCAAGGCCCATCACAAGACCCTAGCGAACCTGCTGCTGCTGTTGCTTCTGCTACTGCTGTTGCTGTTGCTTCTGCTGCTGCTGCTGTTGTTGTTGCTTCTGCTGCTGTTGTTGTTGCTTCTGCTGCTGTTGTTGTTGGTTCTGCTGCTGCTGCAGCTGCTGCGTACTGCACGTTGGTGTTGAGCTGGAGAATGCAGTTTGCGCTGCAGCAGCTGCAGCAGCTGCAGCAGCAGCAGCAACCGCAGCAGGTGATATCAAATGCCTCTAAGCAAATTCAGGTCGCTTTAAACATTTACCTGAAGCTGCACTGCAGCCAACCCACTAAACAGCAGAAAAAGCCAACTAACGATGTTCAAATAAACCCTCAACGCCGATGCACACAAACAGCCGAAGGCCCCCAAGAGGGTTAGGGGCCCCCAACAGAGTTAGGGGCCCCCAAGAAGGCTGGGGGGGCCCCTGTTCGGGGGCCCCCACGGATTTCGGGGGCCCTTAAGAAGTTCGGAGGCCCCCAAGTGGGGGCCCCCAACAAGAGGGCCCTAGAGGGAGACGGAGAGGGCCCCCATGGGGGCCCTTAGGAAGGCTGGGGGCCCCCAAGAGAGCTGGGGGCCCCCAAGCTTGAAAGAGGGTTTAAGTTTAGAAGATGCGCTAGAAGCAACAGGAGCAGTCGAAGGGGCAGTCAGGTGTACCCCCGCCTTGTCCTGCAGCAGCAGCAGCAGCAGAAGTAGCAGTAACAGCAAGCGCAGCAGAAATGCACACACTCGCGACAGCAGCAGCTGCAGCAGCCGCAGCAGCTCCAGTTGCTTCAACAGCATCTAGCAGCAACTTCTTCAGCCAATACAAAGTAGAATACCGTGAGGGAGCAGCAGCAGCAGCAGTAGCAGCAGCAGCGCAAGACATTGACAGCTAAAAAGGTTCCGCAGCAACTTAGACAGCCACTACTACCAAACCTGAGCGCATCAGCAGTTGTATATGCAGCAGCAACAGCAGCAGCCGCAGCAGCAGCAGCAGCAGCAGCAGCAGAAGCACCAACTGTACCAATTTTCAACTCCTCTAGGGAGTAAATGGGGAGTCCATCCGCTGTCCTTTTTCTGGGAGTTGCTGCTGTTGCTGCTGCTTGCTGCAGCAGTCTTCTTTCTTTCTTCCTTTGCTGTTTCAGTTTCTGTTGCTGCTGTCGTTGTTGTTGTTGCTGCTGCTGCCGCTGTTGCTGCTGCTGCTGTTGCTCCTGCAACAGCTTCTTGGCTGATTTGAGGGGAGCGAACACATCATCAATCTCTTGTTTGGCGCTTCTGCTGCTGCTGCTGTTGTTGCTGCTGCTGTTGCTGCTGCTGTTATTAGTCTTGCTGCTGTTCTTGCTGTTGCTACTGGCTGCTGCTGCTGCTGCTGCGAAGGCTGCTGGTGGCTTCTGGCGGCATGCTGCAGCAGTTTGCTGCTGCTGCAGCAGATCCTGCTTCTTCCTTCTCCCTTGTTTCTGCTGTCCATGCTTCTTGGGCCCCTTGGCCCCCATTGCTGCTTCTGCTGCTGTTGCTGCAGCTGCTGCTGCTGTTGCTGCAGTAGCTGCTGCGTCTGTTGTGGTTGTTGCTGCTGCTCCTGTCAACCGCTTTGCCGCTGCTATCGCCTTCGCGAGATCGCCGCTATTGCTGTAGCTGCTGATGCTTCTACTGTTGATGCTGCTGCTGGGCTGTTGCTGCTGCTGCTGCTGCTGCTGCTGTCCCCACAGCTGCAATTGCAGTTCCTATTAATAGTAGTCATGCAGTTTTACAAAAATGCAGGAAGAAGAGAGGGAGGAGGGAAGGATTACTTTAACTGGCCCTGGGGCCCCCGCGCCCCTTAGCAGCAGCAGCAGCAGCTGCTGCTGCTGCTGCAGCAGAGGACCGGGCGGTCGGCAGTGAGGGCCCCACAGCAGGAAGCCGCAGCAACGGCTTATTTCTGCATTTAACTTGGTTTATGAACTCAACAAACAACTTAATTGACGTAGCATCCTCTCCCCAGCAGCAGCAGCAGCAGCAGCTGTCAAGAGCAGCAGCAGCAGCAGCAGCAGGCCAGAGCGGCGGTGTGTAGTACGCGGAGAGGAAGTCGATCCTGTGTATTTTCACTGAGTTTTAATGTAAATAAAAAATATAATTATAAAGTTTTAATTATATATATTATATATTTTTTCGTCCTTCTGCTGAAGTGCTGCTGCTCTCCCTGGGGGGTCCTGCTGCTGGGGGCCCTCGCTCTCAGTGTCTTAAAGCGGTTTGCTGCAGCAGGAGTATAAATAAAGGAGTAAAAGAAGCAGAAACAAACTAAATCTCTCAGCAGCAACTCAATCGCCTCTAATCCTGCTACGGCTGCAGCTCCTGCTGCTGCTGCTGCTGCTGCAGCATCGCCCTGGTTGTTGAGCTGCTGCTGCTGCCGTAGCAGCAGCTGCTGCTGCTGATGCTGCAGCTGCTGCAGCAACACTGCCTCACCGGTATCACATGGAACGGCACACCTGAGCAGCAGCAGAACTGTCAACAGCAGCAGCAGCAACATCAGTAGCGGCAGCTGCAGCAACAGCTGCAGCAGTAGCAGCGACAGTAGCAGCAACTGTAGTAGTAGCAGCAGCAGGTATCGCCTACTTTGTCATATTTGAATGCCCTCAACGCCAGCAGCACCAGCAGCTTCAGCAGCAGCAGCAGCGCCTGCAGCAGCAGCAGCACCAGCTTCAGCAGCAGCAGCTCCAGCAGCACTAGCTTCAGCAGCAGCAGCCTCAGCAGCAGCAGCGGCACCTGCAGTAGCCGCCGATGTTGAAGCTGCGATTGCTGCTGCTGTAGGGAGCTGGCATCGTGCTGACCTGATACAGCAGCCGCAGCAACTCCAGCAGCAGCAGCAGCAGCTGCAGCAGCGGTGAGCTGCTGCTTTTGTCTCTGCAATGGAGTCAGCAGCATCAACGACTGCTGCATCTCCTGCTGCAGCAGCAGAAACACCACAGCCTTCAACAGGAGCAGCAGATGCAGCAGAAGCGCCAACAGCAGCAGCAGCTGCTGCTGCTGCTCCTGCTGCAGCGGATATCGCTCTGCTGCTTCAGCCCCTAGACTATCCCTTCATCCCACCAGAGCAACGACTGCAAAGCCGCAGCAGCAGCAGAAGCAGCAGCAGCAACAGCAGGTATAGGATGCGTTGCAGCCAAGAAGATTGCTGCAGCACCAGCTTGCGTCAGGTTGAGTTCTTTTACTCACCTGTTTTATCTTCGGCACCTCCAAAGCCTCCTGCTGCAGCAAAGCCGCCTCCTGCTGCTGCTGCAGCAAAGCCTCCCACTGCTGCAGCAAAACCTCCTGCTGCTGCAGCAAAACCTCCTGCTGCTGCAGCAAAACCCCCTGCTGCTGCAGCAAAGCCTCCTGCTGCTGCAGCAAAACCTCCTGCTGCTGCAGCAAAGCCTCCTGCAGCTGCAGCAAAACCTCCTGCTGCTGCAGCAAAACCTCCTGCTGCTGCAGCAAAACCTCCTGCTGCTGCAGCAAAACCTCCAACTGCCGCAGCAGCAAAGCCTCCTGCTGCTGAAGCAAAACCTCCTGCTGCTGCAGCAGGAAAACCTCCTGCTGCTGCTGCAGCAAAACCGCCAGCTGCTCCAGCAGCGAAGCCTCCAGCTGCAGCAGCAGCAAATCCCCCTGCTGCTACAGCAAAACCTTCTGCTGCTGCAGCAGAAAAATCTCCTGCTGCTGCTGCAGCAAAACCGCCAGCTGCTCCAGCAGCGAAGCCTCCTGCTGCTGCTGCAGCAAAGCCTCCAGCTGCTGCTACTGCAGCAAAGCCTCCAGCTGCTGCAGCAGCGAAGCCTCCTGCTGCTGCTGTTGCAGCAAAATCACCTGATGCTGCAGCAAAACCATCTGCTGCTGGAGAACCTCCTAAGTCAGGCCCTGCTGCTGCAGCGAAGCCGCCTGCGACGGCAGCAGCAAAACCAACCGCAACTGCAGCAAAGTCACCGGCTGCTTCTTCTGCTGCAGCTAGCCCGCCTGCTGCAGCAAAGCCCCCTGCTGCTGCTGCGGCAGCAAAGCCCCCTGCTGCTGCTGCGGCAGCAAAGCCACCTGCTGCTGCTGCGGCAGCAAAGCCACCTGCTGCTGCCGCAGCAAAGCCACCTGCTGCTGCTACAGCAAAGCCACCTGCTGCTGCTGCAGCAAAGCCTCCTGCTACAGCAGCAAGCCCGCCTGTTGCTTCTTCTGCAGCAAGACCACCGGCTGCTGCTGCTGCTCAACCAGCAAGCCCTCCTGTTGCAACAGGATCCCCTGCAGCAGCAGCAGCAGTAGCAACATCAGCAGCAGCATCAGCAGCAGCACAGCCTCCCTCTTCCGAAAGCGATGCTTCAGGTGAAGCTGCAATATTTTTGTTTTTGTTTTTGTGTTTGTTTGTTTATGCTGGCCTTTGTTTGCTATTTATATTCATACGCCTGCATGCAGTTGTGTTTGTCTCGCTCTTCTTCGCTCCTCTTTGCTGAGGTTTTAGGGTTAAGGGTTTAGGGTTTGGGGTTTCCGTTTCAGGGCGTCAAGTGTTGGTGTTTAGGGTTTAGGGTTTAGGGTTCGCGGTTCAGGGTGTTGAGTGTTGGTGTTTAGGGTTTAGGGTTTAGGGCTTAGGCTATAGGGTTTAGTGTTTGGGTTTACAGTGTTTAGGGTTTAGGGTTTAGGGTTTAGGGTTTGCGGTGCAGGGCGTCGAGTGCTGGTATTTAGAGATGACCAACCCCAAAAAATGTTTCAGGCCTTTGCAGAGGCCTCGGCGAGTCGGGCGGCGGCCATGTTGGCTGCTCAGTCTCGTAAACCCTAAACCCTAAACCCTAAACCCTAGTACCTACGAGTGAAGTGTTGCAGCGGAAACATTCTCTGTGTCGCTTCTACTAGCTAAGAGTGTTTTTCGCTCACCCTTTGAAACTACTTCTCACACTTAACGGTTTAGGGTTTAGGGTTTAGGGTTTAGGGTTTAGGGTTTGGCGTGCAGAAGGCGCCTACGGGGATACCCCCACTATTTCCATTCGGGCCACCGAACCGCCACCCCTCCCAATTCAAAAAGGCGGAGACAGAAACCCAGCGCTTCTCACTGCACAGCTTCGGTAAACCCTAAACCCTAAACCCTAAACCCTACACTTTGGGGTTAACCCGTTCGCAAACCCTAAACGTTGCTACCTCCTCTTTTGTTGATGTTCTTCTCTCGGTTGTTTTGGTCTCTATACGGGGCACTGCTTATGTGCGGTGGCTTGCGGTTCAGTGTTGAGGGTTTAGGGTTTAAGGTTTAGGGTTTAGGGTTTAGGGTTTAGGGTTTCTGTGCAGACGCGAAATGGCTTTCCGGGCGTACCAAGGCACGCAAACCCCCGAAGAGAGGCAGCGAATGTTAGAAGGGAGTTTCGGTAGAGACGCCAAACCCTCAACCGCTAAACCCGCAACAGAACTGCAGGAACTACTCGATGCAATGACAGTAGGGTTTAGGGTTTAGGGTTTACGGTTTACGGTTTTTAGGGCCGAGGGTTTAGGGTTGAGAGTTTAGGGTTTATTGTTGAGGGTTTAAGGTTGAGGGTTTGGGGCTAGAAGCCCAAGGGATATGTGCTAGAGTTCAGGGCTTACGGCTTAGGGTTTGGGGCTTATGGTTAAGGGTTTAGGGTTTAGGGTTTAGGGTTTAGGGTTCGGGGCTTATGGTTAACGAATTAGGGTTAAGGGTTAAGGGCTTGTGCGAGTGTGGCAGATCTGCTTGGCTCATTCTATAGAGCTTAGGGTTTAGGGTTTAGGGTTTTGTGTGTATATTTTCTTTGTGCATTATCCCTTAGCTGCTGCAGCGTCTAACTGATTATTCTTCTACCGTAAATGTTGCAGAAATTGAGGGCATTCGAATGCAGCTGAGGGCCTCTGCAGTCACTGCCTTTAATGAAACCAGATACGCAGATGCAGCCCTACAGGTCCCACAAACCCTAAACCCTAAACCCTAAACCCTAATTTCGTGCAATGAAACCATATAAGCAGATGCAGCTTTATAGGTCCCACAGATCCTAAACCCTAAACCCTAATTTCGTGCAATGAAACCAGATATGCAGGTGCAACTCTACAGGTCCGATTAGGGTTTAGGGTTTGTAAACCCTAAACCCTAATCACCCTGAGCCGAAGTCTTTTCACATCTGCAGGGCGCTATACAGTAAACCCTAGGAATATAGCTGGGAGAGCTCAACCCTAAACCATTTTCTCTCTGCTGTGGGGTGACGCCAGGCTTTGTACTCTTATTTACTTGCGAAGAAATATTATCTGCTGCATGGGAAGGAGCCTCTCCAAGGGGAAATGGTGGGTGGCGAGGGTTTAGGGTTTAGGGTTTAGGGTTTGGGTGTATCGTGCTAAAGAGTGCTCGGTGATGAAGGCTGTTTTATCTGCGTTTAGACGTTCTGCGTTTCCCTCTCCCCACCTCAGACTTCAGGGTTTACGCTTCAGGGTTTAGGGTTTAGGGTTTAGGGTTTAGGGTTTAGGGTTTAGGGTTTAGGGTTTGCGCAGGTGCCTGAGTTGCTGCTGCTGACGAAGTGCTGCGGTATCGTGGGCTCTGTAGTTGAAGGCCGCGTCTACTTAGATGAGTTGCGGCTGTTAGTAGAAAACACTTTAAACAAAACGGGAGCAGCAGCAGCAGGAGGAGCAGCAGCAGGAGGAGCAGCAGCAGGAGGAGCAGCAGCAAAAGCAAAGGCGCCGCCTGCTGCAGCAGCACAGGCCGCAACCGTAGGGGCATCCCTACTAACCCCTAAACCCTAAACCCTAAACCCTAAACCCTAATTATCCCCCAATTTCGCAACCCCATACAAGCACAGACGGAGACAAACGCCAATATCAGCGCACTGTTCATGGTTTTAATGGCCTGGGGTTGAGGGATTGGGGTTTAGGGTCTAGGGTTTAGGGTTTAGGGTTTGGGTTCAGGGCCCGTATATATCGTGCGAGCCGCACGTCTTCGCGTCTATTGTTTGTTCGCTGGCGGATTTATGCGCCCTCTATAGACTGCCTAACCTCTCAGCTACTTACTTCCACCAGTAAACCCTAAACCCTAAACCCTAAACCCTGCTCTACGTAAAGGGTTTGAATGCCCCTGGGGAGCATCGGGCTCGGGGGAAGGCAGCAAGAAGGCTGCTCCTTTTGATTGATGTTGCTGCAGGTCTTGCTGCAGCTTTTGCTGCTGCTGCTGCTGCTGCATTTATTGCTGCTGTTACTGCTATTGTTACTGTTGCTGCATTTGTTGCTGCTGTTGCTGCTTCTGATGCTGCTGATACATTTATCGTTGTTGTTGCTGCTGCTGTCCTTGCATTCATACATGAACGTTCGAGTTTGCTGTTGTTGCATTTGTTGTTTGGGGTTTTAAGGGTTAGGGCTTGAGGGTTTAGGGTTTGAGAGTTTAGGACTTTTAGGGTTAAGGGTTTAGGGCTTGTTGCTGATAGTGTATAATGTACTACGTCTGATGAATGCTTGTGTTTGATTATAACATATATTATAATATATGCTAAATTAATATACAATATATATATGCGTGTATATTTTTTGAAAATACAGTATAAATATACAGCATATATAAATATATATGTATATATTTGTTTTAAAATGATGTTTTGTTTGTTTTTCTTTGCTCAGTTTTATTTCTTTAAGTCGGAGTCTGTACACCTCAAACCCCTTGGCTGTCTCTGATGCTCTGGCTGTTGTTGCTCTTCACTTCTTTCGTTCAAGATTATATAAAGAGAGTTTAGATATATTAACGGAAGTGCTGCAGCTGAGGATTCAAGCCCTAGGAGATGCAGACTCGCCAAACCCTCATCCGAGGGTTGCAGATGTCTATGCAAACATCGGTCTCGTACAGAGACTCCTCGGTAAACCCTACTTATAAACCCTATTCATAAACCCCAATCAGAAAACCTAATCAGAAACCCTATTCATAAACCCCAATCAGAAAACCTAATCAGAAACCCTAATCAGAAACCCCGATCAGAAACGCTAATCAGAAACCCTAAACAGAAACCCTAATCAGAAACCCTCATCAGAAACCCTAATCAGAAACCCCAACCAAACCCTAGCAAATCCTATTCGTAGGCCCTACTAAGCCCTAATCAGAAACCCTAATCAGAAACCCTAATCAGAAACCCTAATCAGAAACCCTAATCAGAAACCCTAATCATAAGCCCTAATCATAAACCCTAATCAGAAACCCTAATCAGAAATCCTAATCATAAACCCTAATCATAAAGACTAATCAGAAACCCTAATCAGAAACCCCAATCAGAAACCCTAATCATAAAGCCTAATCATAAACCCCGATCAGAAACGCTAATCAGAAACCCCAATCAGAAACCCTAATCATAAACCCTAATCAGAAACCCTAATCAGATACCCTAATCATAAACCGCAATAGGGAACCACAATCAGAAACGCTGATCAGCAGCCCCAACCAGGAACCCTAATCAGAAACCCTAATCAGAAACCCTAATTAAACCCTAGCAAATCCTATTCGTAGGCCCTACTAAATCCTAATCACAAATCCTAATCATAAACAAACCCTAATCAGAAACCCTAATCAGAAACCCTAATCAAACCGTAATCAGAAACCCTAATCAGAAACCCTAATCAGAAACCTTAATCAGAAACCCTAATCATAAACCTTAATCATAAACCCTATTCAGAAACCCTAATCAGAAATGCTAATCAAACCCTAGCTAATTTTATTCGTAGGCCCGACTAAACCCTAATCAGAAACCCTAATCAGAAACCCTAATCAGAAACCCCGATCATCAACACCAATCAGAAACCCTAATCAGAAACCCAATTCATAAACCCTAATCAGAAACCCTAACCAGAAACCCTAATCAGAAACTCTAATCAGAAACACTATTCATAAACCCTAATGAGAAACCCTATTCATAAGCCCTAATCAGAAACCCTAATCAGAAGCCCCAATCAGAAACCCCAATCAGAAACCCTAATCAAACCCTAGTAAATCCTATTCGTATGCCCTACTAAGCCCTAATCAGAAACCCTAATCAGAAATCCTAATCATAAACCCTAATCAGAAACCCTAATCAGAAACCCTAGTCGTAAAGTTTAGTGATAAACCCTATTCGTAATCCCTAGTCGTACGCCCTAGTCATAAACCCTAATAAGCCCCAATAATAAACCCTAATAAGCCCTGCTAGTAAGCCTTAAGAATAAGCACCAGTACAGCCTATTTATAAACCCTAATTAACCCTAACAAAACCCTAACAAAACCCTAACCAAACCCTTGTAAGGCCCTTTTAAAACGTTGATAAACTCTAATAAACTCCAATAAACCCTAATCAGAAACCCAAATAAACCCTCATAAACCCTGACAAACCCTAATATGCCCGAAACCTTGAGCCTAAACCCTAAACCCAAACAATAATAGACCCTTATAAAACCTTGTTTACAATACGAAACCCTAAACCCTAAACCCTAAATATGCCCTCATATTCCCTACTAAACCCTTATGAACTCCAACAAACCATAATAAACCCTGATAAACCCTGATAAACCCTAAACCCTTTCTAATCTAGCATTACAAGCCGCCAACCCCTCGCCTAAACCCTCACCGCCACAACCACAAACAGTTCTAACCCAATTTCTCTGCAAGCCACCCCAACTGCAGAGACTCCAGTAGAGGTTTAGGGTTTAGGGTTTAGGGTTTAGGGTTTTGGATCTTCAGGGAGCCCAGCGGAAGCATTTCCGAATCTTTTGACTGCTCTGGATATGCGCATGCGGATTCACCAAACGCGAGACTGCGAACCCGTACAGGTAGGGGTTTAGGGTTTAGGGTTTAGGGTTTGGGTCTTAGGGTTTAGGGTTTAGGGTTTAGAATTTAGCCGGAATGCCGGTGCTTTACGAATGTAACAGACGTTTCCGTCCTCTCTGTCCTTGCTTCTAATTAGGGTTTAGGAGGGTTTATTAGGGTTTAGGGTTTAGGGTTTAGGGTTTGTGTGAAGGACCTGGTGCTGGCTTTGGGCTGCATTCAACACCAAGGGGGTCGCCTAAGAGAGGCTTTGGAGGCATATAAAGAGGTTCACGCATTTCGCTGCAAGTGGTTGGGGCCCAGACACCCGGATGTGCTGACGGTGCAGCAGCTCCTCCTCATGGTAAACCCTAAACCCTAAACCCTAAACCCTAGGCCCTTGATTCGTAGTATCTCTTGTAGAGGGGGTAAAAACGGCGCTGTGGGAATAAGCCTTTTCCTTAAAGCAGCGCGTGAACAGGGTTTAGGGTTTAGGGTTTAGGGTTTAGGGTGTTAGGATCTAGGGTTTAGGGTTTAGGGTTTAGGGTTTGGGGTGTACGCGGACGCAGCTCGAGGGGGACCTAAAGAAAGCTGTGGGCCGCAAGGAGGGTTTAGCGATTGAGCGAGAAGGGGTAGTACCGCTGTATGATGAAGAAGAAGCAAGAAGAAAGGAACTGCTTGCATTTGGCGATCTTTCGTCTCCGCTACACCGAGAGTTTGCACCTTCTCTAGAGGCATATAAAAGACAACAAACCGGAAAAGGTGAACGCAAGGGTTTAGGCTCTAGGGTTTAGGGTTTACGCGTTCAGCCATAGGGCTTATAGCTAATCCGTTGAGCCGTGTGGTTTAGGGTTTACGGTTACACCTCGAGAGCCTAGGGCTTAGGGTTTAGGGTTTAGGGTCTGGGGGTGAAGGAAAACAATTTGGGGGCGGGGGTTTATAATAGTTTATGGTTTAGGGTTTAGGGTTTAGGGTGTATAGGGATGGTGGTGGGTGTTGGGAGGTGTGCTTTTTGTAGGCGGGTGTATGGAA